CTTGAAGAAAATCTCTCTGTGTTCTGTATTTGTTACACAGTTTGAAGAAGGCTCATAGGGATCTTGAAGTATTCTCGACAGTTCTCACTGTTATATCTCTAAAATGAGCTCCTGATATATTTGAAGGCCAAAGCTGATAAACCAGCCCGAGAAGCCGTCCTGCACTGTATTTCCTGCCTGTCACACCACTGCAGTGTATTTAAATGTGTTCGTTACATGTTTATTTACAAGGTCGGTAATGCTGCAATATAAGGATGATTTAAAGCACCTGTTTTTTTTCTTTTAAAACCATAAACTGCTTCTTCAATATGTGCAATTTAATGTCCTTGACTCCTCCAGTGTCCAACAAAACTGCATTAATATGAGCTGGTTGTTCACAGGAGATTTTGATCAAATATTTAGCATTAACACAAAAGCTCACACAGTTCCATATGTCCACATACAGCATTAAAGCTGTATGGACTTTTTATATAAAGTATATGAGAGAAGAAGACAAGAAAAGTCAGCATGGTTCCCTCTGGTTCTATCAAACACTTGTAGGTTAAAGCACATACAAAAGACTTGCACTGAAACAGCTGGGTGGATCAGCTGCACACATAAACAACTTCACATTTCACAGCTTTGGATAAGACATATAAATAGATATGTTATATCTAATACGTTCCCCAGCTTCTTGTCATTGGAAACTGTATATATAACGATATATATTTGGGTTTTGGTTGGACTAAACTCTATATTTAGAAAATAATCTGAATATTAACCAATATTAAAAACTAATAGTGGCCTGCAGTCCTTAAACTATTCAGCACTTTGAGAAGAACAAAAAAAAACATCATCTCATTTATATGCAGATGTTGGGAAGAAGGTTAAAAGAAGATAAGTCAAAGTTTAGAAAAATCAAACCAAATCTATCTGTGTTAATGGTGAGAGAATACTGAGAAGTTATATTATATGACCAAAAGACTTTTTAAAAGCTTGGATTATTTTACATGCAGAAAGCATATTTATAGCCAGTTAAGACCGAGTACATTTTACATGCACTGAGAATAGTTAGTCTCAAACTGCTTTTAAATATGATTTGTTTTTTGCAACGAGAGCAATAACCCTAAATTTAACTTCTCGTCCAAACTCAATATCCCAGCACAGCTCTCTTTTAGCATCTTTGAACATTCATATATGGAAATTGGTCCTTTTTAATCCTGCATATGGTTCATAAGAGACTAGTTCAGGTCTTTGACTGCCAGTCCACACATTTGCAGCCCCCACTCCATCTCTACAAGTAGAGAACGATGCCTCTGTTTTCTGCAGGCTAACAGTGTCTACACAGTGCTCTATAGCTCTGTGTGTGTGTGTGTGTGTTTATGTGTGTGTTTATGTGTGTGTGTGTTGTGTTTATGTGTGTGTGCTTGTGACAGCTCTGCCATGTGAGGGAAAAGGGACAGGGAGTAATGGCCTGGTCCCGGCTGGCTTTGATGGACCCTTTAATGGATGGCTTGGATGAGAAGTTAATTGAATGGGCGTCTGCTGAATACGAAGAAGTCAGAGAAGAAGAGTGGGCTCCTCTTCTTCTGTAGGAGGACTAACAGCTCGGCTGCAAAACCACTCAGAGGTCAGAGCTGAGAGAGCCCGCATGATAACAGCATATGGACTACAGCGTGTGGTTGCTATGACTCCTGTCAATTTAAATAGCTTTTTAGATGGAATAGAATAGTTATGTGATATGTTGAAGGAAATTATCTATCGGTAGATGGTTTGTGTCTGTGAGTGCCTTTCCTGCATCCTCAGCTCTGCTCAGTGTGCATTGATGCAGCATTTCTGGGTTTTTTTTTGATTGATGAGAAATGGCCTAATATTCAGGGTCAAGATCAAGATATACAAGATATTTGTTTCTTTGGAAGTTTACATTGGCTTCCTGATTGAGGCATGAAACCTGGAATAGGAAAAATGGGCAAGCCTTTTGTATGTGCTTTCGCCCCTGGAGTGTTTGTTGTGGGACTATATGTATTATCGGTTGAGGGGAGGATGCTGGAAATGAATGCAAAATTGGATTTTGGAGAATTATGCACTGATTTAATAATGAATTTGACACGTTTCACTTAATCCACTGTAAATCCTCCTCCAGATACATTTCTAATTCCGTTTTTAATTTGCTGAGAGTAAGACTAGTTTTCTATGTGTGATGATATGTAAACTACGAAAATGTGTGTACATAACACGTAAAAAAAGGTTCAAATTGGCTCATTTAAAAATGATTGCATATAACTAATTATAGCTAAAGAAAACTGCTGTGCTGAGTTCGCGAGAAGAGATCAACCTTGACTATAGAGCGAGAGCAGCAGATAATTTAAACAGCCTGTTTGGAGTTGAAGATTAATCCAAACGTATCAAAGCTCCTGAAATAAAAATTCACTTTCACTTTCTGTTCAGTGGCTTTGAAAGCAGCAGCAGCAAGGCTGCCTGCGACAAATATAGGAAAGCCTGTAGGTAAACAGATGAATAAGCAGATTTAAGCTGCAAGGAGGCCGAGACAGATTGCTCTCTCTTGGAAACAAACTCTTTTTGTCACATGCAGCACAGAACTGCTCAGTATGTTTTCATAGTCCTGAGTCGACAGAGACCGATGGACTGTCCCTTCCTCTCTTATCGGAGCTGCTGCAGCCCCACAGCGTCTGGCTGCAGGCCTGCAGAGAATACACACATGCAGACTTTGTCGTGTGCACACTTGCTCTCCAATTTTACCAGGTTTCACAGAAAGTCATATGCAGTTTAGCATAAATTTACAGGCACACTCTACTTCATAGGTGTTTTATTTTTTAAGGATGGCAATGCTTGACAGTCTGTCCACCTCTGTGATTCAGACAGAAATGTCCAAACATGCGTGCATACATTCATGGTTTCCAGAGAATGAAGCCTACTAAATTTGGTGATCTCCTGGCTATTTCTTGCTCCACTAGCAGGTTGTCATTTGTAGGTAATGGTGAAATGTCTAGTGAAAACATTTTATGCAAACATTCCACTTTCTTTTGGTTCACTGAGTATTTTGAATCAGAATTAGAATCAGAATCAGAAAAACTTTATTAATCCCAGGGGGGAAATTGGGTGTTACCGTTGCTCTTCACACAATACAGCAGTAGGAAATAAAATGAAATAGAGATAATAAAATGAGCAATAAGTACCAACTAATCAAGCTAACCAATAGTCAACATCAGGTCTAGCTTAAATGTGCACAGTCCTATATGGGATAGAATACCTGCAACAATAATATTATTCATCAATCTCATAATACTTTGTGTTTCTTTGTGCAGACTTTGCTTTTAACTGAATAAAAAAGTCCTATGAATAATCTTTTCTAATGTAATGAATATATATTAGTGTCCTCAATTTAAAAGGCCCACATTTCAAGCAGAGAATCACATGCACTGACATATTTTTGTTGGCAGAGATGCATTTATTATTATTATTACTATTTGCAAAGTATTTATGTGGGCCTTTAAAATCTTGAAACCGCCCGCTAGATAATAATTATACTAAATTCTCCGCAACTGCTAAAGGTCAGAAACAAATATTTGGCCTCAACATTTTTCTAACAGCTTTCTCTTTAATTTAGCCTCTGGGGATGCTAGCTTGGCTGCGGACTCTTAATCTTGTTTCTTTTATTTTAATTCTAATATGACAAATTGTTTAATTATAGCCTCATTTGTGAGGCATTGGTTTGTTTAGAGGCTGCTAATAGTTGAGAATGCTTATCGAAAGCTTCCAGAGCTCATGATTGCTAATTTTGTCTGAAAATGATCAAAAAACAGAAAGAAGCAAATACTGCATTTATATCAAAAGAGAAATTATTTTAATGATATGAGAAGTCGCTTAATGACTTATACCATTGTTCGCTAATAAAATAGTTGTCCATTATTTCTTTACTGATCCACTTGGTTTATGATGGGACCTGTTCTGTGTTATCTAAGTTCGTTCTTTCTGTGAAATGACACATGTATCATGAAGGGCAGCAGGTTTTTTGTCAGTATAGTTCAGTGTTTGGGCTGCATGTTTGTTAAATTTTCTCCACTCTTATGGAAAGTGTGCATCCTTCTGTAACAGACGTTCTGACCCTAAAGTGTGCGATATAAATCATAATGACATATTGTTCCTCTGTTGCTGGTATGGATTTACTTCAGTGGACTAAAATACAACCGATGAGAGACCTTTTCTTATCCACTTTATCTGTTCTGTCCCCTCACTCAGCTTAAGTGTCCCTCACCTCCTATAGCTGTTAGGTCACTCCTCAGTTTCGCCAGTGTCCTCTCCTCTGTCTCCTACTCCTGGTTGTTTGTCTGTTTCCCCCCGCGGGTTGGAGTTATTTCACAGCTGATGGAAAACAGGGCACTGAGGACAGCTTGGTGTCTGTCGCTGATGTTTTATTAAGTTTTATCAGTGTCTCTCACTTACCCGCTACCCTCACAGGCATCTGTCACTCAGCATTTGTCTAAATTCTTCAACACCTTCGGCCACATGCTGAGGTGTAGCTGTGGGTCTTGAGGTTTTTCTTTGTCGAGTATAATATTTGTAGTCTTTTCTTACTAGATCAATACTCCGTTATGACTTTGTACTTTTTTTAAAGTTGTTTTTTAGGCTTTTCTGCCTTTATTGATAGGACAGCTAAAGAGAGACAGGAAATGTTAGTTGGAGAGAGTAGGGGACGACATGCAGCAAAGGGCAGAGGATGGATAAGAAACCACCATCTGCTGCTAATGTACAGGGACTAATAGCCTCTGTACATGGGGCACACAACATAACCTATCTGCACTCCTATGCTTGAAGCATTTTTCTTAAACTTCCCTATGGTCTAATCTTTCAATTTCCTCCTTATTTTTACTTGTTTTGTACAGTCACTCCATTTCTCCCTTGATGTCACACCCCCCTCAGTCCTGAACTCTAAAGCATGTCACTCCTCTTCTGCATACTTATATTCCCAAACTCTCTTTCTCTCTCTCTTTCTCCCTCAGTGTTGTTGCGTGAGGAGGTGGCCCAGCTTCAGGAGGAGGTCCACCTGCTCAGGCAAATGAAGGACATGTTGAGTAAGGACCTGGAGGAGACGCAGGGAGGCTGCTCCGCCAACCTGCTCTCAGCCACCGAACTCCGTGTGCAGCTAGGCGACAAGGAGCAGGAACTGGACCGTGCCAAAGAGGCCTTACAAGGTCAGGAACCCACACACAGGAATCTTTTAGTCTTACCTAATCCACCAGAGTATTCTTTCAATAGCTTGAATATACAGGAAATACAGCTGTGGAGACTTTCAGTTAGAAGTGTCACACTTTGAATTGAAATATTGCAAGAAAAGTCGCCTTTTAAAGCAAACAGTTCTCAAATTGCAACAAAAAAATTGGCTCTGGGAAAGGTTTTTGGTCATTTGTTTCCATTTGAAGGGGCATATTCGAAACATTGTGACAAACCATCCCCACACTTTGACAGTACCCAATAAGCAGCAAATGAAAAGGATAAGTAATGATTGTTTATGTGTCATGCTAAATGTTTCCCATATTTGATTTTAAGACACTAGTTTATATCAAACATTAATACTAGACCTCTTTTGGTATCACAAAAACAGAGCAGAAACATTTGTAATAAATAGTATGTCTTGGGTATACTATCAAATCACATATACATATATGCATATTTCAAACAAATGGACAGATAGTAAACGTGAGAAAATTATTACTACAAGCCAACAAACAACAACTGGCTAACTCAAGTTGTTACCACCAAAATGATAGTGTTCTCAAATTGTGTTGTAATTGCATAAAATCCTCGATATAGGGGTTGCCATACATTTCTATTCAAATATGTCCACTATGCTAAAATGTTTTAGTCATGATTCTAGGAATATGTTTTACTGTTTTTTTTAACTATAATATGTGTAAATAATGTGTAATAATTAATTTCCCATAAGCTTTAAATGATCTTCTTTCAGTTCCCCCATCATGTTAATTTAGATTTTTGTAAAACAAAGCACAGGGAGTCATTTAGTGACCATAAACAAAGAAAATCTTAACAAATCAAATAATGTGTGTGTGAACAGCCAACTTAGTTTTTGTGCATCATCCATATGTAAAAAATATTTTTTTTGTATCCCTTGGTTCCCAGTAGAGCACCAAAACAAACAAACTAGGAATCTTTGAATCCATAAAACCACACGTTTCTTCCTTCACACATAACTTCTTGTTCCAATATTGAATTGTAAAACACCAGTGGCTCTTAGAGAAGCATAAAGATCATCATCTTTCTCCAAACCAAGTTCCTATTTCACTGTCCTTGATGAAAGAAGTTGGGGAAATGTCTGTATGTCAGTAGTGTAAAGTGTTTAATCTGAGCAAATAAAAAGAGAAGTTTGCCAATAAGATAAGAATAAGATTTATTTACAAAGTTTTATTGCCATGTGCCCAAAACATGAAGCCTGTGCACACTAAGAAACTTGGAATGTTTTGTTCAGTTCTAATTTTTTTGGGGTATTTACAAGGGTTACTGTGTATGTGTATGTGTTTCGACATCATTCCAAAGTGGGTGTTGGCCCTGAGGAGCAGCCAAGTCGACTCCAGGTTCACCTCGTTTTAATTAACATCCATCAATCATGGCACAGAAGCTTGACTCTGAAATATTAATGTGGTATTGAGGTGGACTGGAATGTGGTGATTATTATGAAGTATTGGATTGTTTTTATTTCTCGTAGAAAACAAATCCACACATTATGTAACCAAACAGTTCCCAGAGCTGGGGAAGGAATAAAAAAATAAGTCCTACATTTAAAATAATTGCTAAAAACCAAAATGGAGACGGAGAAACCAAAAGGGAACCGTGTATTTAGTTTAGTAAAAAATAACTGCTTTGAATGTTTCTGTCCTCTGAGAGTCTCAGGTGCTGAGCTGCAAACTTGTAAACTGTGTTGTGTAACTGCTGAAGAACAGGTTTGGATGTAGGGAGTAAAATATGAACACTGACAAAAGGAATGCTTCCTGAGTGAGGAAAAATACAGGTTACAGTCCCGCCTCTCTGGTTGAACACAGACTCTCAGGAGAGCTCTGTCATTATTTTTGCTTGCATAGAGCTCCACCGGTTGCATCATGGCTGATGAGTTGTCCATGTATTTAAGAAAAAACAGTTCCAAAAGGTCTTCTCAGGGTGAGCAGACAGAGGCTCCAAATGCCAGCCAAAACAGTTTCATACATTCATGAATAAGATCCACTGTGCCAATTATGATTTGAGAAGATTACATCATTTTCTTTGATAAAAGGCACCATCTGCAGCCCCTTATTAACAGAAGGCATAGTGCCACCTAGTGGGCCCCTACTGTAAATGCAAAGCTCTGTTTCTGATTTAGAGAAAGCTAAATTTGAGGGATTTATTGTAATTGTTCAGTTTATTTTGACAGCAGAATGTGCCGTTAAAATGCACCTTGTTTTATGCATGCATGTTCTTTCATTGTGTAAATCTGTTGGTCTGTGTGTTGCAGCTATGAAAGCAGACCGTAAGCGTCTAAAAGTGGAGAAAGCAGACCTGGTAAGTCAGATGCAGCAACTGTACACAACACTGGAGAGCAGAGAGGAGCAGCTGCGGGAATTCATACGCAACTACGACCAACACCGAAAGGTAACACTGATCCAGCACATTTATCCGTTTTTAATTCAGATATATAATGGTGTCATGTCAGTCAAAATCCAAAATAAAAGTTTCCCAATAAGCAGCATATCAAAATTAAATGAATCTATTCAGAACACTGTAACGTAAATTTAAACGCATTTTAATCTATTTTTATATATATATATCATACTGTTTGTGCCCATAAGTATAGGAGGATGTTAAACAGATCATGTTTGACTTATGGTAAAATAAATAATTGCAAAGATATAAAATTCCCACATAAAGAAAGTTTGATCGTTGACACATACTGTACATTAATGAAATAAAAATATATGTGTAGCTTCGCTTAAACAAATAATGTCTAATAAAACTGTAATAGAATGCAAATGTTGTCCTCTTGAATTGCTGAACGGGGGATTTATGTGAATATATCTGGTCACAGTCCTTCAGAAAACCTACATTTAAGTGACACGTGTTTTTGTTTATGTGATTTGCTAATTCAAGATCATATTGTTCCAAACTCTTAAATACTGTAACAGGTTTCAGTGTCTGTCAGGTTACATGTTCAAATGTAACGGTCTGTTACAACAATCATTAAATTAAATTGGCCTGATAGTATCCTCATTACCCTTTTTCAATGAATGTACATTTTGAAATACAGCACAGAATGTACCTGTGCTCGAATGTAATGTAATATGTGAGTCAGGCAGGGATTAACCTTTGTGTGCGTGTTCTTCAGGAGAGCGAGGATGCAGTGAAAGCTCTTGCGAAGGAGAAGGACATGCTGGAGAGGGAGAAGTGGGATCTAAGGAGACAGACCAAAGAAGCCACAGAGCAGGCCAACATCCTGCGCTCTCAGATGGACATGAAGGAGAACCGAGTCAAAGAACTGGAGGCCGAGCTCACAATGGTGGGTCACCGTGCACATAGACAAAGTCACAACTTTCTTAAACTCTTGCACAATAGTGTCACCCTGGCATCAGTCATTTGTTTATATGACATGAATGTAAACCAGGTGTGGGTTTGCATTCCTGTCTCTGCATCCCTATCAGTACAAACACATGCAGTAAGCTGCTTTGCTCTGTATCCTCATTCCTTCCATCTCTCGCAGCATTAAGCATTTCTCCAGGCTGAGGAAAATTCATGCCTGTTTGTCTCTGTTGCGTTGTCACTCCCTCGGAGGAACAGTTGTCAGTCTGTGTGTCATTAATCTCTCTCCTCCCTCAGCAAGTCATAACCACCCACAGATCGTCACATCAAGCTGCATCACAGATCACATTTGTTGGTGCATCAATGCCAGAGCTGCAGCGCTGTCAAGCAACCGAGCCACAGAATATCATTCTACCTTCTTTTCTGTTTTAAAATACCATACATGTCTGATGTCCACAGAAGGCCTTTTCGGGGAGTTTCGCATTGTTTTGGCACAGAGAAATGTGAAGTTTTATGATGCAATTCTCAGATCTTAACTTTCTTAACTTCTGGTTACCTTCAAAGGTCAAATCTGCTCTAATTCAATTCGTTTGTTGTCGTTGTTTTCAACAACCCCATGAACAGACCAAAATCAATTATGTGTTAGTCTGTCTCTTGATGCGTTCCAAATCCCTGCTGTCGCGCTAAGCTTCAAGCCAACGCATTCTCTCAGTTCATTCATTCTGAGGGTAGATGAACATCTTTAAAGCAGGGGCAATTTTGTAACATTTTATTAAAATAAAAAAGACAGCTAGGAACTGTAGATTGAATCTTACAGAATCAAAAGTAAAAAGTATTTTTTTCTTGAGCTATTTTCTGTGGTTGATTGATAGATATTTTGCACTTGAGAGTGTTTTAGTAGTAGGACAGTGTAATGTAATAAGTCTAACAGGACTGTGGATATAAGCCTGCCATTAGCACCTATGTTAGCCAGTAGTCCACTCTCCTTCCAGAACCTGCATGCTACCATTTTCCCTGTTGCTACCTGAAACAACAAGAGCCTCTGCACTGACTTTCATGCTGAATATTGCAAATGTCTCTAAGTATTTGGACCTTGCAATCAAACTGCTGCTTAAATCTTTCCCTGATTTTGACCCTGCTTCTTTTTCTGTGTGTTTGTGTGCGTCCATAAAAAACACATTGGACACTATTTTGCACACGTGCCTCCAGACACAAACATTAGAGTGTTTTTTTTTCCTTTGTCTTAATCTATTACGGGTTTAGTTTGACCTTTTCCATTGCTGTGCTGACACAGCAAAAATGTGTAATTGACTCTAATAACTACAGCACCCATAAAGAAAAAAACAATCATCATCCAGCAACAGTTTGACTCAGTGATGTTTTTTTAGTGGAATTTGAAATATATCAGTGGAGGTCATTGGTACGGTACATTCTGAAAAACAGTATCAGGCTTAAGGATACAGACAATATGTTGTATTCCTTGTTTATTTTCTGTGGTATTTGTTGACTATAGTAAGGAGAAAACTGACAGCATGTGTTTTAACTCTTACTGTCCCTTATTAGTTTTGCAGCATACAGTAGTCTGCACATTGTGTGTGTAAATACCAACAAATGAATGCATCCATGCCTCAGTCAGTTTATGTAGGGCAAGAACTTTTTATCTACAGATTACATGTGACGCTCAAAGGCAACTGAAAGTGTCTTACATTGTATATAACAGACTTATAATACAAGGAAAATGATGACTGAAAAATTAAATACTCAAACACATTAAAAACATAAATGAATTTTAGATTAATTGCAAAGATAAAATGCATGTATGTGTCAATGTCAGTGGGGTTTCTTTATTTTCACCCTAACTTTCAGCTCATGCTCAATTTGTGTCTCTTTGTTTTCCAGGCGAAGCAGTCTCTGGCCACACTGACAAAAGACGTACCGAAGCGACACTCACTGGCCATGCCCTCAGAGCCTGTAGTGAATGGCAGTCAGGAGTGGGTGATGCAGGCCGACCTGCCACTCACTGCCGCCATCCGTCAGAGCCAACAGACCCTGTATCACACCAACGACAGACAGGGTAAGTTATCCACTCTGCCCCTTCCGTCTGCGTGCTGCTTGGGGCTGCTTCTACTGACTAAATATACTAACAGGGTTCCTTAAGGTTTCTCATACTAACTGTGGGAATTTGTCAACATGTGTGATACATGTGTGTGCATGTGTGGAACATATACAGCTGTGGTAAGGATCAGCCCCTGCCACTCCCGCCAGCCATCTGTCATCTCTGACGCCTCTGCAGCTGACGGAGACCGTTCATCCACGCCGAGCGACATCAACTCACCTCGTCACAGGACCCACTCCCTCTGCAATGTAAGAGTTGCCTGGCCCCCTCAACCAAGTAATCACACCTCCACACTTCTCTATGAGTGCATCCCCCCCCTCTTTGACTGCCCCTATTTGTGCCTGTTCTTCTGTTGGGTGTCAGCCAGTCTGCGTGGTGGTGGTGGTGGTGGTGATGATTTTATTTTGCAGTGAACTCACTTAAAATCAATATTTTAACATTTAATAACGTGTTTGCTTTCATGCTGAGAGTCAGATGATGAGATTGTCTCTACTTTTGTACCTGTCTACTATATCTAAAGTTACATTTCACAGCCGGTTAGCTTAGATTAGCTTAGAGTATATATTGTAAATAGGGGCCAAACAGCAAGCTTGGTCTCTTTTAAAACATGGCCCCAGTCCAGTCCCCTTTAAAATTCCTGCCCCTTTTTTAGGAAGTGTTGAGTGGTTTTGTTTCCTTTGGAAACCAGGTTTCCTGTCTACAGTTTCCATGCAAAGCTGAGCTCTCTAGCGGCTGCTAGTGCCTTCATGTTGTGCTGTAAGGACATTAGAGTATCAATCTTACATCTAACTCTAAGTAAGAAAGTGAATATAGAATTTTCAAAATGATACTGTATTAGAAATACATCTGAAGCTTGTTATCTCCTGTGACCCGTTCAGTCCATGGAGGATCTGGAGGACCAGAAGCGTAAGAAGAAGAAGGAGAAGATGACTCTGGGATCCCTGTCTCGGGTATTTGCTCGGGGCAAGCAGCGCAAATCACTGGACCCCGGCCTGTTTGATGGTACAGCCACACCTGATTATTACATAGAGGAGGATGCCGACTGGTGATGCTGAGAGCGTGAATGTGTGTGTTTGTGTGCGTGTGTTCATGAGTGGGTATCCACCTGGCTTTAACTGTGTGTACAGAGTGTTTAAATGCAGGATTGTATGGAGGGGAGAGCATATTTTAAAACAAAAGCCTGAAAGACTGCTATCCCCATAAATGTACAGTATATTACCCTTAAATTGTATGTTTGTAAATTAGATATATATTTATAGATGTACATGTATGCATATGTATATATGTTTACATGCATATAAATATATACACGGGGTTATCATTATGTGTAGACATGTTAATGCTGTATTATCTTCCAATTGTTGAACTGTTATATGTTTTTTTATAACTTGAGACTTGAAGGACTGCTGTCTATATGTAAATAGGAGTTATTGTGGAAACAGTGTTTTTACTGTAAATGTCATTTGGCTTTTGTTACTTTGCAGTTGCTTTTTACATGCTTTGCAACATTGATTTTTAAGTTTTCTCGTATTCCCAATTCTTAACTGGCCCTTTTTTATAAGGAAAGAGGAGATTTTACATGATTAGCTAAAAAAAAAAAAAAAAAAAAGTTAGTTTTTCTTATTTATTAATAAATAGATATTTGTTTGTGACAGGATTTGCTTGGATAGGAATATCGTCATGGCATCGCAATTTTTGTTCCTATCATGATGTGAGCAGCAGGGAGTATTGAGTGACAGATATATGACTTATTTATGTTGATAACTATATTCTCAGTTACTGTGATCAACAACCCACCAACAAGGGTTTGAGTATAATAGATATATAATTGCACTGACCTGAAAAAACAAATAGTGAGCAGTAATACATATTTAGTCTCATCTCTTGCTGCAGAAACCACCTGCAAGTGCCAGAAGTTGAACAGTCATCTTTAAAAAAAAAAAATCTGAGTCTCATTCTGTCACTGTTAGCGTTAGCCTCGTAACATTGTTTACGTCTGACTCATTCCTTACTGAGAGCTATCTAACATGCGCCAATCCGTGAAGAAGGAATGTGCATTCAACATGTGCATGATCCCTCTGTGTTGCTTCAATTAAATGTCCATTCATTGCCAATCAAATTAACTAATAATCTCTACAGTCCTGTGTTGCTCCTGTGTTGCTTTTTCCCCTTTACCAAGTTCTCTCTCCCTGCATTATGAATGCACGGTCCCTTTTTATTTGAATTTTTTTCTTTGTTTTGCTCTGTGTAGATCCCTCCTCATTTCTTGCAGATGTGGCTCCAATAATTATATGTTAAATGCTTTGTAATTTAGGAATTGTTCCATAAAAGATTAAATCTATTGAAATTTTTTATTTAAAAGATAGAGAAAAGAGAGTAAACTTCAATATTTATCTGCTGCAGCTGTTGCAGCCAGATGCTGAGGAGGTTTTAGCATTTTCAAATAATGAATTATAATTGAAATGAAATCTTATTTTAAAAATAAAACTAGTAACTGAATACATCCTATGTTGTAGTTTTCTGTTCCATGAGTATCTTGTTCTTGTGTCCCAGTCTAATGTGTCTCTCCCTCTCCTCCTGCCATTTTTAATGGCAACTCTCTCCTGCCAGTGAGTAACTCCTCATCTGTGATTACCAGTTGTCTGTTTCTGATCTCGGGGGATTATTCATATCACTCAGGTCCATTGGATAAAATCCAAGTCTGTGTGTTTATTTTTGAGGAAACTCTTTTGAAAGGGATGATGGACTGCATGCAGCGTTTTTTGTCAGCATGTGAGGACGAATCAGGTAAACACACAGAGTTCATCCTGGATTTGGTGGTTCAGTATGAATCAGTGTTTGCCTGTTGTGGAGATCGAAGGTTAAATGGGCAGGAGCATGATGTTTTATGAATAATCCCTGTGTCTCAAAAACATTATCCTAATGGTCTACAATCCCCCCCATATTCCTCACATAGTAACGGAAGTATATTAACAACTTTACTAAACGTGGTAGTATTGTTTTAGAGCTGACTGGACTACTGCACACTCAATATACAGGTTGTTTTTCTTTTAAAAACCATGACAGATTTAGACAACCACGTAGAGCTGTAATTTATTGAAATAACCCTCGTCAGTCATATAGTTTAGCCTTTACAAAAGTACAAGGTCAGCTTCATTAAATTAATCTGGCTCCATCTAGTGGCCATAGAGTACCATTTCAAATGTCAAAATTGACCAGAAGTAGAAGCTATAAAAATCTTAATGAATACTTTAGTTATTGCACAAAAAAGCCATAAAGACAGATGTTTGTTTTTTTAAATCCTAAAAAAGATTAAGATTTTTTAGGATAGTTTCCAATTTGTTAATAACTATTATTCCGCTTCGGTTTATTTTTGGTGCAACTACCCTCTGAATTTCATGTCAGTCTTTCTTCAGATAAGTCATATTTTTTGATTTTCCTGACCCTGAATTCCCTCCTGTATGCCACACCATAACTTCTCCTGACCAATCCAGACTCTGACAGCACACAGCAGAGCCTGTCTGATGGAGAGGAGCAGCTGGACCGCCTCCAGCAGGCCGAGCTCTCTCGAAACACATGCATGTCACAGTGGAGAGCAGGTGTTGTCCAGGCCTGGCTGGAGGTTGTCATGGGGATGCCCATGTACATGAGAGCCTGCTCTGAAAACGTCAAAAGTGGCAAGGTACACCATTGGTACACGTGGTTCAATTGTAATTGTTCTTCTTTATGATTTAAAGAGGGGTAGGATGAGAGAGTACGGGCATCGAAAGAAGCTGTTATTGTTTGATTAAGAACTGGTTTTCTGTCCTTTTAGGTGCTGCTTGGACTCACAGATGAGGACTTGGAGCTTGGTCTGGGTATCAGTAATCCCATACATCGCAGGAAACTCAGACTGGCCATTGAGGATTACAGAAGAGCTGAAGGGGACCAAGGGTGAGCAACAATGAGAAAAACTTGGAAGATCTTTTGTTGTTGTTGATAAACTTGACAACTTTAAAAAGTAAAATATTTGAATGTGTAGTTTTTCTTACAAACTCACACTTAAACTAAATGACAATTGAGATTGGAAAAGCTTAGGGCACTGGTGTCTTTACAGATCAAGATTTTAATTGAAGGACAGAAGTTGCTTTTCTAAAAAACAGCTCATACAGTATGTAGCAAAACTATATAGCTAACCTTCAAAATACTGTAACCAAATATTTTATTCGTGTTTCTAAATGATGTTATCAATTCAATACACATATCATGCCAAGAGGTTAAGTAAACCCCAGGTATTTAAATATTTGGACGTTAAATTAGAATGACTATACTATTCCAGCGGTACTTTTAGCCCCCTCCTGATCCATTATGCCTAATCTTCTTCTAGACTTTCAAAAGCTTCGGAGATGGACCATTACTGGGTTTCGACATCCTGGTTGAGTGATGTGGGCTTGCCTCAGTACTCGCAGACCTTTCAGACTCATTTAGTGGACGGACGGGTGCTGAACTCTCTGAGCCGCAGAGACCTGGAGAGATTCCTCAACATTAGTGACCAAAACCACCAAACCAGTTTACTCCTGGCAATCCAGCTGCTGCAGATGCTCAGTTTTGATAAAGAGGTCTGATATAGTTTATAGTCTATCCTCCATTATTATCCACAACAGCTAGGGCAACACTTACTGCTGCATTATCTCATCAGTCCCTCATGCTTCCCTGACTTTGCGGTTATCTATTTTCTGTTTTTGCAGGCCCTGCAGACACGGCGGCTAAAATGTGAGAACCAGGACAGGGACCCCATTGTTTGGACATGTCACAGAGTAATGAGGTGGATCAGAGACATAGACCTGAAGGTTGGTGGACAGTCAGGGACAGTGTTTGAGTGTGCTCAAGAATATGTTAGGCATATTGCAAATAGATTCTAGGACTCCCTCAAAAGCAATAAAGATAGTTTTGTTACTTTGGTGCTTCTTAAAGAATCCATCCATTCATCTGCGTCTGTGTTGTGATACTCAGGAGTTTGCAGAGAACCTTCAGGGCAGAGGGATTCATGGAGCTGTGATGGCTTTGGACCCGTCCTTTGACACAGATGCCATGGCCAAAGCTCTGGGGATCCCCAGCAATAAGCACATGCTGCACCGGCACCTGTTTGAAGAGATGAAATCACTTGCCATCCTTAACAGGTAGCAGAAAAAGAAACTCCGGAAAAATTGCATGCTTTCATAACTCTTGTTTTGTTTATTGCTGTGTGGGACCATGTATTTGTTATTCTGTAAAACACCATGTGATAATCTCAGACTTAAGCTTTAACATTGTGACCATGAATCACATTACTATCTCCTACTATATTCTGTAATGCATCATATCTACAGCAGTGCAGAGCAGTGCGCTGAGGTCAACAGTTCCTCTTCACCTGTGGCTGTGAACCGCTTAGCTGAAGAGAGGCTGTCTATGAGAGTATCAGGCAAGGTATCATTTCATGTCATACTCATATAAAATTATTAAAACATTTTGCGCTAAGGTTTCAGTAATGAAGCGAACTGCTGAACAGTTTTCAAATTGAATTTAAACAATGTTTCCGGTACTAGTGAACTGTGTGGCTGCCTTTTATAACTAAGTGATTTGGAGTGTGTGTCCATAATGATTTTTCCAACATCACCAAACTTACCGTAGTAAACATATAAACATTAGTGTTTACATATTTTTTGGAACTGATAGGCCATAACTTGATGGAGGTATTTCCTTGCAAAGGGCATTGTTAGTTGATTCAGCCTGGTAAACTATCAATGTAACCTGCCCCCTCTTACCTGTCAAATGAAGGTATGATGGGGACACAACACAGACGGTGTTTTTTCAGAAACACTTGACGAGTTTGAGGAGAGACAGAGATAAAGTTTACATTTGTGACATTGTTCTGTTTAACTGGATGTTGCAGTAAAATAGTTAGTCAGTTTATTCTTAATGTCAGCTAGTAATTTGACTTGATTCACTTTTTCAAACTAACTACACATTAGGGTTTATTTCTCTTTCTATTTCCAGAGTCCGCTGCGGCTTCGTGCAAACAGTCACTCTGCAGAGCGAGGTCTGGGCTTCCACGGCAGCTGCAGTTCTCTGCCCAGAGAAGCCAGGGTTCAGCTATTCCCCGAGCAAAAGGCAGTCCCATGCACACCTACAAGAGTGTTGAAATCACCAACGTCTGAAACAAACTCAGTCATCACTCACATTGTTACAATTGTTTACATTTTTATTGAATATTTGCTGTTTACTACTGAGGAAGATGTCTTAAAAAGGAATATATATATAATGTATTATTTACCATCCAGTGTAAATGAAGACTGAAGACTGAGACCTGATGAAATACGAAAATGTTTTTTTTACAGGGTCAGTGTAGTTCTTGCTCAACTAAATTTTAAAACAAGATTATAGAAAACTAAAGTATAGGCCACAAACATTACTGAACACAGAGCTGTTTCCTTTTGATGCCTTATATGAAATAGCTCTCACTGCACAATGATTTCTCTTTCAAACTATTTAGTAAACTTTAATCATTTCTAAGTAATAAAACTAATAATTATTCTTGTGAAATAGGTCTTTTTTTATTATGACATGTGTCAACTGTACAGAGTATAATGTGCTGATAATCTTCTGCGTAGACCTGAGCAGCTCTGAATTAAAGAAACACAATTATTGTTATAACCATGATATATTACCTGACTTTAAAACAACATTTATAAAAGATAATACATTTAAGAGCTAAGATACAAAAGGGCCAAGAGTTAGATCTTTATCACACAATGCATCCTAGGACAAAAGCTTTAACATGGACTCTGTACTGAAAACTGTTTAACATCCCTCTTCTCATTACTGTTATTTAATCTATTTAAAAAGAAAATATTTTGTTCAGTTTGAATGTATATGTTGATGGAAAAGTACAATCATATTGTAAAGGTCATTTGTCGATAAAAAAGATTCAGCTGAATGTTTGGTTTTGTAAATTATAATATTTAAAACTCAATCAAACATGCTTCCACATGTTATACTGTATGAAAAAAAAGACAGCACTGTTACATTATTATGAATTCAATGGAGAGAATGTGATGGTATATTTTGTACAGTTCAGTATTTTATAAGAAACAGTTTAGTTTCCCTGAGCATGAAAACATAAATTAAAGTGTCACAGGGCCACACTGTGTGCCGTTGAAAGCCTGAGGTTAATCCAAATACAAGAAAACAGGTTTGTCTGCCACTTTTCTGGGCGTCTCCTCCAGCCACCAAAGGCAGGGTGTTTCAGCGGGAAGTTTAGACCAGTTCAAACATGCATAGAAGCTGAGGGGATTGACTCAATATTGTGTCTGTTAAAATGATATTAACAGTCTCAGTCTTTGCCCAACTGTGGCAACTTTTCATTAAAAGTGACGTTATTGTCAATTGCTATTTGACAGTATATTCCTGTTGTTATTCTTCTGCTTATAATCACATTAACAACAAATAAAAACAATGTCCACTTGGATGAAAGTCATTATCTTATGAATATCTTCTTTTTATAAGTCAATATTTCAAGAGCAGAGAGGTAATATTTCTTATTATTTTATTTTTTATATCTAAAGACTCATTTGCATTTTGCCCCTTTTAGTGGGATTTGTCTTTTTAAAACTTTATTCAATCTTTACATGTGTAGGTCTCCCACTTTGTTCTGCATTAATGGAGAGGTCTCAGAGTGAAGGGGCGGCCCACAGCGAGTGCTCCAGAGCAGTTTTGGGGTTTGATGCCTTGCTCAAGGTCACCTCGGCAGTGGTCAGGAGGTGGACTGGCACCTCTCCAGCTACCAGGCCAATTTCCGGACTTGATCCATGCCGGGACTTGAACTGGTGACCCTCCTGTTCTGAACCCAAGTCCCTACAGACTGAGCTACTGATGCCCCAAAATCGCAAATACAGTAAAAAGGCAGTAAAGAATATAAAGCAATACAATTAAATAATAAATAAATTAAATAAAAAACAAGAGAAAAGTCAACAAACTGATGACAATGATATAAAAATAAAAAGACGACGATTACATCACATCACAGATCATTAAAAACAAAACTGATGATAACTTTTTATCATCTGGGGTGAAATAAAAGATAGATGGTTAATTAGATATATAAAAGAAACAGAGCACAGAAGACTAAAACATTAGAAGAAGGATTAAGAATTGATAAGAAGATTAAGAGCAATACAATGAATAAAGGAAAGGATCAATCTACAGGCTAAAACATTAAAAGAGGGATTAAGAATGGGTGAAAAGGTTAAGAGCAAGGGTAACCAGTTAACCGGCTAAGTAGGCAACCTTTTGGCTCTCTAACCTTTATACCGCTGACGCCCTTTTAGTGATCAATCAATAGGCGTTTGTATATTCTGATTCTGCTATAGGCCTATATATATATATATTATATAATTAAATATAAATATAGATATAAACATAAACATAAACATAAACATAAACATAAATATAAATATAAATATAAATATAAATATAAATATAAATATAAATATAAATATTATTTGCATTTCTTGTTTATCTTGGATGAATTTTGTCCTCTACAAGTTGTCTTACAATAAAATACATGAATCGTCCTGGTAGCTCTTGTATCCGGACAGGAAGTGTACCTGGGCAGCGCTAGGACCGAGCGGAAACAGGTCAAACACGCTTTACAACCGTGAGAGGGGAGGTTGCACTACAGCTGAAGTTTGACCAAACTCCTGTTAACAATTGTGTGATCTTTGGAGTACACTTTTTTATACAGGCCTACGCTTCCTTTGTCATATTTAAAAAACACAAATCGCAGTGGAACGGGGCTCGTGCATTTTGGACGCGGATGTTTTCTTTCCTCTTTGATCTTCCTGTAAACACCTGCGTGATTCAGGTAACTCCCCGATGAAGAGGGAAGTCCTGGCACACTGAGCGGCGAAAAGGTGAGGCCTCCTCAGAACACCTTTACCACGAAAACAAGATAAAGTTCAGGGTGGTTAAAGCGCGTAGATTATGGTTATTTAAATCTCTATTTGACCCGTTTGAGCGTTAGTGTGTGCTGATTAGTTACATTCAGAGTGAAGGGACACACTGCTCTAACCCGGGTTAAGGACACACTGAAGGACGGACACACACCTACACGGTTTAATGGTGCGCTTTGCCGCACCATTAATTTTTCACCGGCTCAGTACATGTACTGATTATAAAAGCTTTTTTTTAATGCCGGAGATGCACTGATGTTTAACAGGACACACCAATGTGATACCATGCAGCAATAATATGTGACTGAGGATGTGTTTCCTAATGTACAAGAAGAAAAGTAGCCATAAGTTATGACACAGGAGTTCCGCATGCAGGGGCAATTGTGATGCACTAGGCTGCTGTGAGCATATTCTTGTTTTGATAATGATGGTAATACAATTATACATGTGAACTATATTGGCCACAGGTCAGTCATCTATGGAACATGTATGTGGTGATACAGTGCTAAAGCATGTGTATACATTTGTAAAGAATAATTTGGCTCAGTTGGGTTGAGTCAATCAGGTCTTGGGTTCGATCCCCAGCTCCTGCAGCACCGTGTCCTGCAGAGATATGTCCGATGTGTCCCAAGACACTTAACCCCAAGTTGCTCCTGCTGCTTTATCAGTGACGTATGAATGAAATCAGTTACTTCTGATGGTCACTTTCCATAGCAACGTCTGCCATCAGTGTGTGAATGGGTGTGGCATGTGGTGTAAAAGTGCTTTGAGTAGTCTGAAGGAAGGAAAAGCGCAATACAAGCTCAAGTCCATTTACCTTTAACACACTGTCAAGATGTGCCCTGTGTTTCATAGTTTGGATGCACTGATCAAACTGTTTTCTCTCTTCAAACTCATTCCAGTACCTTACAATCAAAAGGGATTTACACCAATACTGATTAGAAAGCATTTTCTCTTTTGGCCAAAAATGTTTGTGGCACTGATATTATTTGCATGTAAGGCTACCTGAAGCAATGGATTGGTGTTCCACTAAAAACTGTGGTGACCCACCATGACTTTAATGTTTTTGAATTTAATAAAGATGTTAACAGAGACCCTGTTTTAACATAATGTCATGTCAGAGCTAGTAATGTTTTTTTTGCCTAAAGATCCTAAGAATGGGTCAGTGTTAATATGAAATGAAGATCACACTATTAATAACAAGACTTAAAAGACATATTGTGCAATATGCAAAATACATTATAAGTTAATTACCAAATAAATGACATGTTCTAAATTTGCCTTTTTAAGGGGCTTCTTGAAATGTAACAGTTTTCTTAACTGGGTCACTCCTCCTGACTTGGGAGGCTGAATACAATCTATTGTTTTGTTTTTTTTACTTTATCCACACCTACAGACAGAACAGGTAAACCTCCTTTTGAAATTTCTCACAAACATGAATTTGAACAAAAATATTAATGAAATCAACAAAATAAATAAAAAAGTTAAGGAGTTTCAGGATAAGAAGGACACAATGTCCACATATTTCTTATTTATTTGGCTCACATTGCAATATTACAGGGCCCTATAGTATCTTAACATCATTCGAGCCTCTCTGCCCATCCCATCATTTCCTGTGACAGAACAAGGTGACATTGACTTAATTGCAGGGTGTGCTTTGTACAAAGGGTTGGACTAATTAATTGTCCAATTGCCCACTGCCCAACATACCTGTAGTATTGCTTAGTATGTAAATTATGTAACCTGAAACTTGAGACTAAACACCATATATTTAAACTGACTTTCTTAAATACATAATCCTTGCATCATGAAGGAAAACTAAGCAATTTTTATCTGTGTCTTTCCTGTCTTGGTTTTAAGACTGAACAGATACATTTATTAACCTTTCCATAATAATGAGTGCTATTTGAAAACTTGGATCTGCATTATACCACTATAGCTTCTTGAGTTTGAAAATGGACTTCTACATTTTTGACCTAAGGAATGCAATAAAATGGTATTTGCAACTGACATTGAAAAATTAGTTTTGTCTTGTGGACACCTGGTACAAAGGTGCTCAAAAATGATGTTATTCAAAAAGAAGTGTTGAGGTGCGCTGGTGGTTGGTTCTGATTAATTGCTCTTAGTGTCTGAAGGTCTTATGTACTTCTCCTGTTTTAGTATTCCATTTCAACCGTCCTGCTGTGTCGGGAAAGGGTCCCCTCAATCCATATAATATATAGTAAAAGATTTAATCCAAACACATTAAAGACATAAACCATTGCATTGCGTTCCCAAATTTCAGCTGTAATCT